CTTGTATGTTTGTAAGGAGTGCGAAAGGACGGTGGCGATGTTGGAGGGATGTCTTTTTCCACCAACAACGTTTCTTAAACTCTGTGGCCCCGACATTTTCCAGAATTAGACTTCGGTCGCAGCTTGCAAGTGTTCATGCAATTTGCTTGCGTAGTTTGATACTTAGTCGTAGACTGGTTCTGTATATACTCGAAATTTCATTGGAACGTCGATCAAATGACATACACGCACCTTTTGCTTCTAAGTCTTTTATTTGTGTGAGCTTGTTTTGTTAATACCAAGGTTTTAAAAATCGAACCGGTGAAGTTACCGATTTAATGGTTCACTGGTTTAATTAATATATAATTTATTTTTTTATTTTATATGTGATATGGGATATTATACCTAAAGGAGTGAACAAATCTAGTAAGTCTGTCGAATAAACTGAACGAGTTGCTCTGGTCGAACATAATCCGAGCAGGGTGGTCATGGTCGAACACCACAGGAACAAGAGCATCTAGGTGGAAGACAGTTAAAGGGGATTCCAGTACATGGATAATAGGTCGATCCCAGACCCAGGGAGGATCTGGTCGAAGATCGACATGTTGCACAAGTAGTCGTCTGCTCGACCATTTCCTTACTCGGATCAATCAGTTGATTGACCTAGATATAATCGAGCATAAGAGCCTTCGAGGAGATTTTAGAGGAATCAAATCCCCACGTGCGGAGGACATGTGGCACGACCTGATTGGTTCATATCTCATAACTGTCTCTGACACACCTCTAAAATGTGTTGTACGACTGGACAGGCCGGTAGCCTTGGGCAGCCAGCTTAGCTCATCCGGACAACTTTACGATTTCAGCATGATTTATCCATTATACTCTTGAGAACTTAGTAGAGCTTATACTTACTTAAGCATCGGCGGCTTGTCACCGGAAAACCCCTATGGTGTGAGAGTTTTTGCAGTTACTCGGCATTCTACCGACGAGAAGAAGTTCGAGCGGGCAGTTTCTAGTCGGTTCGAGTGTTCGACGTTACCATTTGGCCTTGTGTGTGGGACTTTCGTTCGAAAGATTGTGTGCAGAGGTTTTGGAGTTGTTTAGCTATGGCGGACGAGATTCCCAGAAAAAAAAAATTTCAGTAGTCGTTCGACGATGCATGGACGACGGTACGACCGTTCGAAGTTGGCCATCCACCGGGCTTCTCCGAACCTCTTCAAACTCCGTTGATCCCGATGCCTGCTTCTCAAGGTCCGGGGGTTCATGGGTGGTTCACGTGGCGGAAATGGGCTCGAGCCGGCCGCAAGAGGCTCAAGTGGTGCAAGCGACGGTGTTGCTCGCACCGTCGCAGCCAGATCTGGTGGAAGAGCAGGCCGATGGTGGTGCAAGTGGTGGAACCACCGAGAGATGAGGTGTGGCGCGGTGGTCAACAGGTCGTGGCGATGACCAGGGAGGAG